GATATGCAGGCATCTATACAAGTATATGTGTTTTTACATAAATACATACATACATGTTAGCCTTCATATCACTTTTCGGCATGTCGACTATGAGACGGTTGATCTTATCAGAAGAACCCCAAGCTTCAATGGAACAGCCATTGCAAATTATACTAACTCCAGAATCCCAGAAGCGCCATTCCCGAATCGCTAAGAATGTCCATATAATTGGTCTTGCCACCAAAAATAGGCTTGTGGTATGCAATGTCCAGCGAAGCAGTCAATCGTCCGCTCAATCTAGCACACAAAGACACCCGTCCCTCGCCAGCGAAATACTCGATGAAGCGTAGGTCCTGAGACCCAGAACCAGACCCTCAACCAACCAGGAAACCAGTTGCCACAGACAGCGTGCCTCGGTCAAGGTTTCGATGTTATCGCTCCAGACCAGGAACATCACGGCGAGAGCCAGTACCTTGGATTCGGTTCTTTTCGCAGGAATGGGTGGGCCGACTCGGAGGTATATATTACATATATCGAGTGCTTCAGAGTTGCACGAGGTGCATTTACCAGGGAAAGGTTGTAAAGGATGTCGTGTAGGTTCATGGCTGGAAACGGATGAGGTGGCGATGCACACTCTTGACTGCCCACCGACAAATGTGGTCCCTGCCTGCTAGCCAAATGCACACCGTGATCATTTAGGGCAGTGCACCCCCATCCTTGATTAATTGGCTAGGAATCAGCAAACAGGCACAGCGAAAGACTCATCGATCGGGCACGTGCACAGCCGACTCTCCACACAAGCATAAACCTGCTGGCATGACGTTGCTTGGCCTCCTGGAACGGCTGCCGCTTCAGGAACCAGGCCTTTCGCTTCATCGCCTGCCAGAACCGTGCATCCCTCAGACACCGTGGAAATTCATTTAAACCCAGATCAACATCATAGACCAGGTCTGAAAGCTGTGCATGTTTGCAAGTCCGAGAGAAGCTTCAGAGCTCGGGACTCCTGAGCTGCTAGGCCCAGAAGCTGCACTAACTTAAACCCTAAACCCTGAAAACCCTATATATATATACATATATATATACACACACTGATTTTCCTATTTGTTTCTTCGTTCATATGTACCCATTAACAATAATATATGTATATATAGTATATTACACTACATTACACTACATTGTACATGACATGACATGTCATGACATGACATGACATTACATTACACACAAATGTCTATATGTATATACATTGTTATATATTCTATATATATATATACCATATATATATGTATATTATATATATAGTTCATATACATGTAAAGAAACAAATATGTAAGTATATATATATATACAAATAGCCATCTTATATATGAATGTATATGTATGTGACCAAAAACTATAAGCCCAAAGCCTCTATATTAACAATATACATATATATATATATAATAGAAAATTATATTTATATATCTATATATATATACATATAACATATATATATATGTAAACCCGAAAAGCACCCAGATCCAGCCGGCCTGCTTCCCGCGTTGGGAGCCCCAGCCGGCACCTGTGTGCAGGACGTACAGGAGGTGCTTGGAGCCAGTAGTGTTTAGTATACAAAGGTGCAGGGCTTCCACACCCACTCAATATGGATCCTCATGCCCAAATTGGTCCTTGGAAGCTCAACTCTGAAAGGCAACATCTTATGTAGAGTTAGATGTGTCATGTGTACTTCGAGCACAGATCCCCAGCCTCCCCAGCGAAAGGATTTCAAGAAGTCGGTGTCGATGATGACGAAGTAGCACGGAACCTTTGCAAGGTTGAGCTTCACTGAGCAATGAGTATACACGGTAAAGCTATACTGCATTTCTAAGTTAAGGACTTGAGTGTACTCAGCAATCACGTCGAACACTTTCTTGGATGAGCAAGCAACAAGACTCAGTTGGCCGGTTGCATTCAGGATGTTGCTCGCTTCAATTCCACAGGTTTCCTTCATCGCCCAAATTGATGTAGACAGCCGGGAAACCAGTAGCAACTCTTCTACAGGTAATATCCAGTACATATACAGAATGTGTGCATATGCAAAGTCAAGGAAGAAGTAGAAACCATTGGATCCTCGTAGCTTCAGTATAGGCCTTGTTGATTTTGGCATTGGTGCTACAACGATGTCGCTCTTGCTTCATGCAGGAGGTAAAGCCTGGATCTCCCTCTCTCTCTCTCTC